TTAATTAATTGGCGTTAAATTAAACTAGTCACAAAATTAACGAAACTAGCCGGTGATTGATTAAATTAAATAAAAGAAGAATCCAGAAACCGAACGAAAATCTGTGTTTCTCAACGTAGGTGAAATCCGTTCTGGAATTTTCTCTGTGGGGGCCGGCGGACGTGACGTTCGGTGGTCCACGAGAAAGGGAGATCACCCTGCAAAGGTGGCTGGATCTGGAAAGAGCGAACGTTCTTCACGCGTTAGTGAGGACAAGGGCGCCGCTCACTGTCACGGACGAGTACCAATTGCTGTTCCTGGTTCGAACCAGCGCGAAGATCATGAGCGAAGCCTCGTTACTTCTGGACGAGCAACGAAATCGTTTGGTTCGATCTCGCTGACCAATGCCCGAGCAGTGTCGTAGAATCGAGTCTTTCAGAGATCAGATATATTATTTAATTATATTTATATGTGACTGTCTAATTGTACATTAAAGAAATTCGAGTAACATGCGTAGTTCTCGAGTGATAAGAGGAGCGAAACTAACTGAAGGATAGTGGCGATTTTACAGATGGAAATTTGTGAGACAAACGCAGATATTATCGTGCGCAACTGAACATTCTCGTCTGCATTTAATTTAAGAGTAACAATTGTCTTTAATTATTCGGTAGATCGTAATCTCATTAAGTATTTTGTATAAATGAACAACAAACGTCGTTCAACGTGTTTCCTCTGGCGGACAATTTTACAGTTGATCCGATTAAGAGGAGAATTACTGGAGCGTTTCGTCGCGCGGTTATTGTCGCAAATATTCAAGACAGGAAACTGCAGCAAGTTAATATCTCCATCAATATTTCCTGTTTTAAAGCTGTATTTCTTTTCTTGAAAATACACTTCGCTGTGTAAACACGCCCCTGTGTTGTTCGCCAGTATCGCAACATTTCATTTCAACAGATAGTAGTTCATAAAAATTTTGTTTTACACGAAGCGGCGTTCAACTTTGAGACAGACAATAACAGAAGACAATAACTTTTGTAACGTGCGCATACGATGAATTTCTGAATTTCAGAATATCGTTCTGCCTTTGAAAATAAAAGGAAAACGTGACTTATCCCCCCCCCCCCCCGTTACGATTCTCAATATTTGGATTTATCCGACACAGAGTCTGCACTTCCACTCCATTCCTTGCCGACCTAAATCAACAACCACGTCGTTTTCAGAACATCAGCGGATAGTTCGATACCTGTGATAACAGTAATATACACTGAGCCCTTCGAAGATCGTCGAAGAGTCAACGAAGAGAGGCGCCAATTACCAATCGTTTCTCCAACAACTCGCTGGCAGCATCGACTCGCTCGTACGACACGTAAATTGCAGACAGAGGCAGTGGTGCCGATCTATCAACGTCGCGGCGCGGAATCCACGCCGAGTAACCGATACAACAAATTCCGTGTAACAGCCACGCACGGGATCGAACGCTGTATTATCGTTAATGCAATAGCGACGCGCGACGCAGCCGGCTCGATAAATCAATAATCGCAGTGGCGGAAGGCGTAGAATTTGCCGAGGCGAAATACGCGACGAGAGTGGCCCCGATACCTCTCGATCAGCCGATCAAAAAAAATTTGGCCCGATTTCCAAAGCCACTTTCTCGTTCTTCTCCGATTCCTTCCAGACGCGTTCCACCTCCTCCCCCTCTACGCAGAAATGCCGAAACGAGGTTTTAATTAAACCTTGCAAATTTAACGGGAAACGCGCAGACGGCGTGGAGAGACTGCAGCCCCTTTTAATAACTCGGCCTCGGGAGAGGCGACTTTTAAACGAAGCTCGCTTAGCCTTTTCGCTACGGTGGTTCTGCGTGCCCAAACGTGGACGCGCTTATTCCTGTGAAAGTTCGGTGTGAATGCAAAATTTTATTGGGTGACTAAAATCGCCAGGGTAGTAGAGAGTGAAAGAATTCTACATCTTCGATTTGATGGAAAGAGCCTGTCGAGAAATTGACCTTGATCTTGAGCTTGAGTTTAAAAAATTTTTTTCGTTTGCAGGAATCATCCTTTTGAAAAATGGCAAAACAGTTTCTTAATCATTTACACAGCGACTTTATGCTTCTGGACGCATGGATGTCTATCTTAACGTAATTTTCCTATTAGATTTCACTAGATCATTTGATTCATTACAGTTGTAGCATCGGTGTGAGTCTAAATAATCGAATGATAAAACTAACTGTTAACTTATTACTACGACATCCAATCGCATCGCCAACATGACAAACTGAGAACGAGCTATCGAAGGAGTTCCAATCACAACTAACCTGTCGTTTGATCACTCATGGATCAGAGACAGAAGCAACAACCGTGGATTTGGCTCTCGACTGCATTCCTCGAGACGTCCGCTGTAATGGACGCTCTCAGACGCGACGAGCAGATACCATTGACAGAGAGCGGAAACAATGGCGGTGTACTTCAGCTTTCGTGCTTTTAACGGCGGGAACGAAGTCGAAGGCGGAGTGCTCGTCATCGAAATCGCGGTTAGCTGGCTGGCTGGCTGCATCCATCTCCATTAACAGATACGCAACGCTTTGAGTTCGATTCGCGCTCGAATTTTGACTTATCGCCGCGGCGAGAGACCAAGCGACGACAGAGGGTCGAACAATGACAGCCGTTCCCCTAAAAACGATGAGTGGATTGCCTTCTGTTAAACGTTCCTCTGCAGCGTTCGTCTGCCCGAAGCGTCTGTCGTTTGTCTTCCAAATTGTTTCGGCAAACATGCAGACAGCGGGCGACGAATGTAAATTGTCGTGGCAACGGTTATAAGGAACGAAGTGTTTCGACAAACAGGAAGGGATTCCGATGACTCTCAGATTCGATTAAACTCGCGAAAGTATTACCACGAAAGTTCGAGGATTTTTATGCCTTTGCAGGCATACAGAATGCGCGCAACATGAAATATTCAGAGCGAAGCGCGTTTTCTGTCATACTTGTTACGTAAAACAATCTTCTACCCAGGTTCTAGTCCTTTAATTGTACAAAATCTGCCATCTAATTACAATGAGTAACGAGAGAAATGCTTATTACCGGTAATGTAATGATTCGTTCATTGTAGCGGACGCTTTTGTGTTCTTCTATCTATTTCAAGCGAATTGAACCACTTGCAAAACAGTAATTGCACCGTGAGTGTCAGGAGGATGAAGTAGAATTTTATCAAAGTTTTAGAAAAATTATATTAAGGAAATTATGGATGACAAACATGTGTGAATGTAGCAACGTGCATAATCAAAATTAAAATCAAGCGAACACGATCGTGTATGTTTGTTTCTACTGTTCTGGGCTGACACAGCATTGACTTGTACTACTGAAAGTGTCGAAACCACGTAAAGATGTAATCAACGAAACGACTTTAATATTAACTTCTAATATTTGCGTGTTCAAATACGACACGTTTCAACTCTCATAACATGGATATTGACGTATTCTAAATTTTGACACAGCAGCATTGTTGCTCTGACGTCGGGAATAATCGCGACGATCAACGCGAGGACTGTGAAGGGATACGGAACACTTTCGCGCAAAATGTAACACGCGAATGGCTCGAGTATCCAACTAATTAGTCGACCCACTTTAGACCCGGTGCTCGAGCTGAGAGGCAATTGAAACAAAGTTTTAGTACGTTGACAACGAGCTGGCCTTACCGGAGGCCAGAAAAAAGAATAACAAAAGCCGGTATTACGTAAGTAGAGGAGGCGACGTTAGGCGGTGAAAACGCATAATTACCCCCGATCTTCGAGCCATTTACGTTTCTCCTCTTTTTCCGCTTCCCTCGCGCCACGAGCGCATAATAATAAGCTCGCGAAACCTCTGAGAATTGCCGCGGTAACAATGTCTGCACAGCCCGTTTGGCACGTTTGTCGACGAATTTTTAACCTGCCGCCTTCCGAATTTAACTTTTTCTCTCTTTAAAATAGATCAGAAATTTTTTCGTTATTCTCACGTGTTTTACCCACCTGCTCTCCGAATTTCGTTTCATTTCCCTTTCGTTTGAAATGGATTCGACTTGTCAACTGAGTCGGAATAACTCTCACCTACCTTCCGAATGCATGGGGATTTACCGTTTTTCGACGGAAAAATCGCTAGGATTTCCACGAACTCGAAGAACATTGTTCAAATCGCCATTGTTAAACGCAAATTGGGAATTAACGCTCGGCGGCAACATAAACCAACGGCGGATGAACGGTATTTCCGTTGCTATAAATAAAGAATGAACGGTGTTAGCGGGATTATGTTCGTTCGTGAAACATCCATTCACGATTGAGTTTGCAGAACGCGCGAGAGCACGTTCAGTCGCTGCTAAACCAGTCTAGTCTTCTGTCGTAAATGACAGTGTCCAAATTATACGATAATCTGAATTGATACAATCAAATAGTTTAGCGGAGAGAGACGTAGCGAGCATATTGCGTTGGAAGTTTCAGTTCCAATTTTTTAGTACTAGCTACGTATGAAACTGTATTACTTTGCTTTTCTCACGATTATATATTTCTATAATTATTATACAGGGTGGTGTACATGATGCAAAAAATATTTTTGACCTAACATGTATCGAAAGGCCAGTAACTGGTAAGAATATTTTTTCCCAAGTCATTGAGTTTCAACGAGAGTTTTCGAGATCATCGAAGCATTTTTTTCATACAACATATATATTTTTTTTATATAACTTTATTTTTTATTTACATCTGGTAAAAAAAATACGTTCAGATATGTAAAGAACACGACCCTGATGTCCAAAAATTTAAATTTTTGTTTTGAAGAATGTCATAATTTGTGAAAATATACATTGGAAATGCAAAGACATGTTATTACTGTTAAAAAGAAGAAACTATTCTTCAAACGTACGACTGGCTTATTGAATATCGAACTATATCCCGTGATTTCCGTACGCCATGTCAGAATAACAAAAATCTGAAAATGCTCTGCACGTGTTCATAAAGAGTCTGCTAATTGAGTCCGATTCAATTTGAAGTACAATTCCATTTGCTCGCGAGAAATACGATCCGCCTACCGTCCCTGTCGATTTATCATTTTTTCGAAGTCGCGCGCAAACACGCGATATAGGTAGGTAACCAGTGGCGACCGGCCCGACAAGCGGACAGCTCGATTTTTCGCCGATCATCCTGTTTACTAATTCCACGTGAGGCGAGAAGCGAGCAAACAGCGGGCCAGTTATTTCGAAAGCACAGAGCTTAATTCGCCCGGACGAGGGAATCTAGATTATCCTGGCGGGCGGATTCGTGCGCGTGAGGTCAATTTCGTTGGTCCATCGGTCGGTTAATTTGGCCTCGTGCTTGCAGCGGGGCCGTGTCTCTCCGCGTAACCGCTCGGCGCTGCTTGGCCGACGCCCAAAAGTACGGACACTAAAGTGAAAAGCGTTTTTGCGGCCGCCGTCGCGAGCAAGCGTTAAACTCGCTAAATTTTAAGAGCGATTTCCGCCCGCGAGTTAATGAATTATGGACGTCCTTTTTTTTTTTCTTTTTTTTTTTCTAGAGGCGTGGGAAAGGCCAAGTAGCTGAAATTCTAAATTTCGCGAGAAATTTCGTCCGTTGAGAAAATACGCGCAGTAGGACACGAGTCAACTGTTAATGAAAAATGGATCACGACTGTGATCGTTAGTAGTAATTGAAATTTCTTTAGATTCCTTAGCTTTTAAAAATTTTTTAATTAGCTGGTCGCATTTCAAATCAATAGTCGTTCATCGTTGATCGTTTTTGATTGATGGTCAATCGTCGATCAGAGACGTTTGAACTTGTACGATTTTACAGAAATGAAACGAGGATAATTTTAGTCTGGAAGTTGCAAAAATTCAAACAGACTTGAAAACACTGGAACATTTTTCTCCACCATGATCTTGGGGATTACAATTTGCAATAGGATCTCTTTTATTGACCTTTCGTCGTCTAACACCAATGTTTAAAGTTCGACAAGATGGTGAAAAAAATTCGCAAGTTCCAAGCAATCACTTGTCTCTTTAAAATAAAATAGATGGTAAATCTAGTCATGAAAAAACCGTTTCAATGTTTTGTGATGTTTGAATTTCGAGAAAAATGTACATTCCTATCCTGTATGAT